TTGCATAATTTTATCCTAACTGAAGCTATGTGTTCATTCTTTCAGTTCTTTACCTCTTTATCTGAGGGCGTGTTCTCATGTATTTGCATCAAACTTATTCACTTGCTAATGAAATCCAGGAACAGGCTTTGATTCTGGGACGTATATGCGGGAAGTGATACTGATACAGTGGTGTCATCTTTCTCTTCTGGCCCTCTCATCATTTCTTTCTCCCTCCTTGAACAAGTCAACATCAGTCCTATTGTTTTCTCTGCTTTTTACACTGAATTCTGGCAAATAGTCCGAGAGGCCTTCACTGTTTGTACGGATTCTGTGCTGGGGTGGAGCTGCTCTTAGCGGAGAATCAGAAAAATAAGGCTTTGTGTGTGTGTCAGGGAGGGGAGGGGGTGTTCTCACTGTTAATAATTTTCTCAGAGTGCTTTCATTCTTTAGGGGCCACTTGTGTAAGCCTTGTGAACTCTTAGAGATAAATGCCAAATCAGTGCATTCTTGCTGACCTTTTGCTTAAATGTGTTTCATATTTAAATTACACAACCGCGATAACCTTCCAATGTAAATCATTAGTCAATTTCTTGGAAATGAAATAGACTGGTATCGACAGTTTTAAGTTTGTGAATCATGGATGAGCTAATTGGTGAGTCATGTGTGAACTTCCAAGTGATTTTGCCACAGAACTTAGTTTTGACTAAGTTCTGTGGAGGAGCTTAAGGGGAGAACAGTGAAGCACTGTATACTCATACTAGGTCTTTGTGTCTGTTATTTTTAATGTACAATTAATGTGTTGTCAGGGCAGTTTAGTTCAGCTCTAGAGAGAGCAGATTATAACTAGAGGTCAAAGTTCAGACACAAAGTTACAGGAGAATGTCGTAAGAATTTAATACATTTCCTCATTTCCCTTTTTCTGCTTTTTTCACAATATTTTTTCCTTAGCTGCTTTTTTATAGCCAAAATAGCACAGAGTAAATGCACATTCACTTATCAACAGTGAAAGTAAAATACAGAATACATGTGTGCGTTGCTGTCCTCGCAGGTACTCCCGTTCCCAAGCCAGGTGATCTATAATCGTGTGGGAAAGTGCGGCAGCCGGACGGTGGTCATCTTACTGAGGTTACTCGCTGAGAAACACCAGTTCAACCTGGTCTCCTCTGACATCCACAACAAAACACGCCTCACTAAGCATGAACAGGTAAGATAGCCCAGATCGCGCTGTGGTCCAGTGATGCATGGATTTAAAAGACTGGTAGAAGATTATGCAGAAGATCTAACATGTGATAACACATTATATTGTGGAACAAGAGAAAGAACCAAAAAACTGAACAGAAACAAAAGAGAAAGCACAAAATATAGAAAAATCTATCTTTTTCGTATTATATTTTGTGTGTGTACATGTTTAGATGTTAAGACATCTTTGTGAGGACAGAACATTGTCATGCTACTATACTTGTGGGGACCAACAGTCATTTATGGGGACAATATGCTCTTCCCAAGAGTTTGAAGGCATTTCTGAGGCTCAAAATGTGGTTTTAGTGTCAGGGTTACAATGAGGTTATGGATAGGTTTAGGTTGAAGGTTGGGATTAGGCATTCATTTGTGATGATTAGGGTTATGGTAAGAGGTTAGGGAAAGCATTATGGCAATGAGATGTCCTTACTAAGATATGAAAACGAGTGTGTGTGTGTGGGTGTGTGTGTGTATACAATTCAGAATTGTTGAAAATAATGTTGAAAATCTCTTTGGGGTCCTGGAAGCTCTAAATAAGTCTACGGTCAGTGAAAGCCTCAAACAATATCCTAGTTCATCCTAAAAAATCATTTGCAGTTCAGCTATGAAAAAAATGTCCTTTTAATAGTTCATCAAAAGAAGAAAAAAGAGGCACAAGGCTTTAAAATCTGCCAGCTGCTCTTCAGAGCAGTAGATGCAAGCTTAGTACCAAAAATAAGGTTCGCCGAAGCACTACATCTCACATGTAAAATAATACAACAAGTGTACTGTAGAAGCCATCACACAAAAAGATAGCAGAATTATCAAAAGTCTACATCGGAGTCCCTTGATAGCTGTTTTGGATCTTGGAGCTGTTTAAACTTAGTTGGCATGGAAATGTAGCTTTTTTTCTTCTCTTCCCTTTTACTTGGACAATTTAATCGTCCTGGAAAATATGGAAAACACTAAAAAATAATTTCTTTCATGTGAGGGTTTGTGGTCTTCAAATCCGTCAACTTTAAACTGTTTCCTAACTCATTCATCATTTGTTTTTATATGAGTGTAGTTAAACAGGTCTAAATCATTTCACTATTAAACAGCCAGATGATATTGTCACATCCTTCGAGTAGCGGCGTTTGTCCCCCAGGTGAAGCTAAAGCAACTGTGCATTGTTCAAATAACTGTGTGGTCAGTGTCAAATTAACAGCAGCGGTTTATTCAGTGCTTGTTTTTGTAGTTATTGTGAGAAAAAGACAGAAGGATTGTGAATCTTCTTTTATTATTTCCTGGAATATCTTGAGGACATGAGCATTGGGTTTACAGAGGAAAAACTGCATTCCTTTAAAAAATACCACAGCTTTTTAAGACGTAGTGCTCAGCCATGCTAGTAGGAATAAGAGTGAAAATGTTAAGGTGTATAAATAATGCCCTTTCTTAAAACTTTTTCTAATTGATATATGCAGTACTGTGCAAAAGTCTTGATCCACCCATTATTTCTATAGATTTTGCTAGCAAATTTGGAAAAATTGAAGTTTTTGCAGCTTTCTAAGGGGAAAACAGAGTATGTACAATTCTGAAAATCAGTATTTGGTTGACAACCTTCATCCTTCAATAGACCCTGATCTCTCTTAGGCAAACTTTCTTGTGATTTCTGTAAATAGTCTTCAGGAATAGTTCTCCAGGCTTTTTGAAGGACCTTCAAAGCTCTTCTTTGGATGTTGACTGCCTTTTGTTCCATTTCCTGTCAAGATGATCCCACACTGTTCTAATATTGTTGAGGTCTAGGCTCTGAGGAGGTCAATCTATAACTGTGTTTTTCTATCTAGGTATGGTTTTAATAAACTGGGAGTGTGATTGGGATAATTGAATCTATTTGCAGTGAGTCCTCCAAGTGAAAGGATGAGCCATCATTGCTCAAAAAAATACAGCTAACTTATTGAAAGTGTTTTACCCTAATCATGCTCATGGTCCAAGACCAGGAAAATCAAATTATTATTATTCTAGTCTGACCCCACTACAGCATCAGTATCCTTTCCACTTGCCCATTCAGCAAGGTTAATCTTTGAGCAGCAATGAGCCTCTACCTTCAAGAACATAGTTCATGGCATCGTTTTCAGCACCATCCTTTCATTACTTCCACAGTTAGCACCAGGATGCCAGTTTCCGTTTCTTCTATCTTACTTGATTACTCTGCTCCAACTTCTAGGACCAGGTTGCCAAATCTTTCTCCATCCCCACAGTTGACCATTCTCCTGGGTTGCGTTTAGCCTCGATAAAACATAGCAACGAGATGTTATCGTATACAAGTACTGCCTCAAATGGGATTACTGTGGTCTGTGGCGTACTCTGTCATTTAATACAGCAAGGTGTATTACTGCTGACTGGGTACACTTGTGACAATCATTCCTCATAGTTCAATCAAGAAACTATAGGAAACTGATGCAAACGAAATTGCTCATAAGTGCCCTTGGCTCATCTTTGGCACCAGGATGCCAGTTGATGTCCCATCATTTCAAGTCTCTTTGGGGCTGCGTTCAAAGAATCTGCATTCTCTGCACCAGCTGGTCTTGTTCCTTTTCTTGCAATAACAAATACATATATGCAGGGAAAACAGATAGATCAAGCATTCCATCTATTAATGACAAGCCAGTGTTGCGCTATGTTTTTGTCCAGCAGGGTTTACATGCACGCTGTGTTAAGTTAAACATCCAGTGCTTGTCAAACCCATTAAACACTCTTTACTCTCTAAACCATTCCTGTCAGAAACCACTGACGACATTTACAAATTAAAAATCTTCTGTACCTCTCTCTGGCACATCAGTCTCACTATATGGCTTTTAAGTGTTGGCAAACTTCAGTCACTGATTAATTAAAAATTCAACCTGCTTCTTCATCAACTTTCTTAGTATAAGTTGCCAGATCTAAATACTACTTATTGCATTTTCATCATCTGGCTACATTTTAGCTCCCCATACTAGTTGCTATGTCCTTGAACTCCTGAGAGCCAATTCTCCCTTCTACTGATGCCAGCTCTATAAAGTCTGGTAGTGGATCCACATCGATAATAACAAAAAGTGACAACATCCTCCAAGTTCCTCATGCCATGGCAGGCACCATCTAATTCTTACTCCGTGAAACTCAGCAGCATCAGTCTGATAGTCCTCCTTACAAAACGTTCTTCTTACCCTTTCCTGCCCCAATTTGCTCCCTCTTCTGGCACTTGATACTAGCCCTGTGCATCATCTTTCTTGACCAGTCATTCATTGCCACTCTCTCGCTGCATCGTTTACACCCTTGCTTATCAGCATAATTACACATGACAGCTCCTCTAAATCACAAATGTGCCTTCGGTGACCCCGCTTGTGAGTTTAAATGGTATCTTCTTTTAGGAACTTGACATTTAAGATGTCCTCCAACACAAATTAACTCTACACAGATGCCACTCCTTTCACTGGTATTGGGGGTTTTGCAGGAAATGGTAAATGGCCCGTATTTATATAGCGC